TGGGGGAACAGCACCCACCGGGCCCCTTGAGTGCTCCCCCCGGGTGAACTCTCCTGGCCCAGTGGTTCCTGCTGGGCTTGGCTTTTCTGCGAGGAGCGGTTCTGGTTGAACTACCGGGCTGTGCTGGGGGATGTGGAGCTGACTCTGAAGGATGACACCCGGCCGGACACGGTGCCCAGCCCGGCATTGCACCGCTGTGCCCGGGAGCAGCCGCGGTGACCCGGCAGCAGAGTAGGATGAGCCCCATCCCGCAGCACCAGGACCAGGAGGGGCTGAGCTTGGGACCCCCCAAAGCATCTCCCTGGCCCCAGGTGGGAAAAGAGTGACTCCTCGTTGGAGCATCTCCCTGGCTCCCAGCCCACAGGAGGACGGGCAGGTGACACTGTGGTCACAGCCTCCTCATCCACACCATGAACCAGCCGACGTTTGCAACCTGCCCTGGCAGATGAGAACCTTGCACGGCTGCTCCTTGTGATTAATTATCATTTCGTAACGCAGGAGATTTCAGGCATGAAAGAGCCTCTTCACAGACAGACCGTGCACACTTTATCCATCATATGAGACTCCAGATGTTTCCATTTTATTCTTATTAAATCACTGCCTGGAGAGCCCGGGTAACATGAGGCCTCCTGCCCCAGTGCTGGGCACCACTGCGGGGAACAGCAAACCACCAGAGACCCCTTTTCCTCGAGGGATGGAGAGATGTGCTGGGGGGTCTCAGGCCAGACTCCCCCCCATTGTCCCTGTAGCCCCTTGGGAGAGTGGGGACAGATGGAACGACCTGTCCAGACCCAGGAGTGAATCCCATGTCTGGTGACGACGGCCACCTCGGTGCAGAGCAGGGGACTTGATTTCACATCCAGCACGCGGCCAAACCGCAGCCAGAGCCAAAGTAGATGCACCACCTCGTCCTCCCTCTCCCTTCCCTCTGGCTCTGGTCTCCCCCCAGTCCTGTGTGTCTCAGGGTTGAGGTTGGACTCGAAACATTTGCCAGTGCTCGGCAGCACCCAGCAGCGAGGGGCTGAGTCACCTCAGGGTGCTGCTCCCGGGGCGTGGGGTCCTCAGAGCAACGAGCAACATCCCATGGAAACAGCCCAGTCAGGGGAGGAGCAGGGGGGGAATAAAGCCCAGGTGGGAGAAAAGAGAGCTGGGAAGGGGGGAGGTTAGAGATGGAGGCACAGGGGTCATACCAGGTAAGGAAAACAAATAAATAGCTGATTCAGGGGTTTGTTCTCCTCTTTTATTTAGCAGAAACTGTATTTTTACAGCTGCAATCCCTTAAAATGGGATTCTTTTTCCCTGAAACAAATCCTTGTAAAATAATGCTTCATAAAAATAAGCGTTTCTCTTCTCGACCTCGAAGACAGAAAAACAGTAACGCCGGCAAGGCCGGCTCTGTGCCGCCGAGGAGGCTGATGGTGGCTGTCACACGTGTCCCTGGCTGCGAGCTGTGACCTGCCCTCCGAGTGCCGCGGTGGGTACGGCACAGCACCGGTCCCACCGGCTCCAGCAGGACTCCAGCAGGAGCAGAGCTCCTCTCCCAGCATCTGCCGTGGCCACCTGCATCCTCACAGGGTCCTGGCTCCGTTGTGCCACCAGCAGCAGAGCCATCACTGTCCCCTCCAGCCCCAGCACAGCGCGGGGAGCACCGGGAGCCGGGTCAAGGCTGCCTGGTCACTGGAGACCTCCAGCCACCTGCCAGGCACTTGTAGCATCAGGAACAATCCCACTCCAGGGCTCCCCAATCCCTTCACTTAATTTGCTTTCATTTTGTTTTAATTTGGGGGCTTTTTGGGGATTGTTTTTTCTTCAGGCTGCAGGTTTTTTTTTTTCACTGCTGCTTCAGCAAAAGTGATTCAGGAAATTCCGATCAAATCCCGGCGCGCAGCAGCCCTGCCCCTGCTCCCCGGCGGGAGAGGCAGAGCTTAATTCTCATTAATAACCACCACGGGTCAATTATTGCGAGAAGGAGGAAAACCAGCAAAGCTCTTTGGTATCACATGTTATTTAAGCTTCCGAAAATAAATGTTCTCTGCAAATCAATGTTTGCAGTTCCGCGCATGGACCCGGCGCAGAAGAAGTTGCTAGAGGAGAAGTATATTTATAAAGATTATTTCTTTTAAATAAACAGGCACTTAAAGCAGAGGCTGCAGCTCCCAAATGTCACAGCCCTCCCCTGGGCTTTCCTGGCCGAGGGCTCCGAGCGAGCTCCCAGCGCTGCCCGCAAAGTGCCACAGCGAGTCTCGGGCTCCAGCATCGTGGTTTTGGTCCAGCACCCACTGAGGGGAGACACAGCACCCATGTGGGAGACACAGAACCCACCCAGCCGCTCCCGGGGCAGGCAGGGCTCGGCACACAGGGCTTTTGTCAGAGGAGACCCTGCTCTCGAGAGATGTGACAGCAGCACGGCGCTCAGTGAGCCGTGGCTTTCATCCTGCCCTCTCCTTATAGCATTTAAAAATACCTGAGGGAAGCCTGACATGGGCATAACCCAGACAGAGGTGCTGCGGCAGC